TTGCCCATTGAGAAGTCAGAGGTAACACAAATAGAGTCTCTTCGCTAATTTTGACTTTCACAGAACTTGCAGTAAAAATTGGGAGTTTCAGTCATTGTGGGCTATCAAAGAATGTCTTACCTATAGTAAAACGGTGAAAAAACGCAAAAAAGCACAACCTAGCGTCAAGTTCAGTGTGGTCCAAGTTTGTTGTTATCAAAGGAAGGAAAGAGGGTCTCATTGAGGGGTAGCTCTGACAACTGACGGTTATTTTTTTCCGATTTTGACGACTGACGTTTAAACTTTAGGGTCTTTGACGGCTGACGGTTAAAGTTTAGGTAATCAGAAAAACTTTACTCGATGATTTTCATCATTTATAATAAACTTTTAACTATTTTGAGGCCTATCTCGTCTTCCTTTGACGGAGTTGAGTGAGGCGTACTTCTAAGACCTCTAACAATAATTTATGATTAGTTTCAAACAAAACCTTACTTCTCACCATTACAAGTACAAACCTCATGAGTAGAATTTTGTTATAGACCTAACCTCTGGATTTTTCAAGAAGGCTTTCTGCTGCTGTTCGATTTTGCAATCACTAACACCATATTCAAGAACGCCTTTTCATCGCGGCAAATCGTTGACATTTCATTCAATATTAACACTTTCTCTGAGCTGCTGTCACACATCCTAATGAAATGGCCAAAACTGTGAAGTTGACTCTATTTAGGGCCTGTTTACATGATGATGTTTACAACCACCTCCCGGTTAGCTCAACTGGTTAGAACGCCGGATTGTGTTGTGCGGGAGGTCGAGGGTTCGAGCCTAGGCCGGACCAATACTCCTGGTCTGAAAATAAGTGAGGAGAAATTGCTACCTTTCTATAATCAAGAAATGGATAGATATTCTAGTCTTGTCGGATAAGGACGAATAAACTGTAGGCCCCGTCTCCTGCAGGGTTAGGGGTAGGAGACGTTAATTTCCCATGCACGAGATTACTGTGTCGTGGATGTCCTCCCCTTGGCTGGGATGGGTTGGAATTGGCCTTGAAAAGCCCCCTTGGGGAGTGGTCAACTAACCTATGAATGGTAGGGGGATCCTAGGTAGTTGAGGTAACCTGCCTTGCTGCGGTCGGAAATCAAAATAGCCCGAGTTTACATGCAATCTTACAACCCCGAGACCCAAAGGCAAGTTTGTCAAAGCACTTTTAATATGTACCAAAATAAATTATAACATAGCTAGTAAATTTGTCTAATGAAATTCATTTGCGCGAGCATGCTTCATATTCCTCTTGTGCACCCTCATGACGTCAGTAAACAAATCCCTCGAGAAAATCTATTCTCCGCGATTTATTTACTTTGAGATTTTAACTGGTTAAGACTCGTGGCAATTTAGGCCAAACATGGAGAATTATGAGCAAGATGATGAGGAAGAAATGCCTGCCTTTTCTTTGAGAATGAAGCTTTTAACTCCCCAAAAGGAACGAAAAGTAAAAGAAAACTAAGAACAAGCACGGCCGTCATCCCGTTTTGCAACTCTGAGAGAGTCCGAGTTGCCGAAAATATCTTGGCAGAGAGACACTCTGAAAGAACCAACCAAATGACAAACTGGTCCGTTGGACCATTCAAAGGTAAATAGTCTATCTCAAATGTTTTTAAGAGTATCTAATTCTCTTTACAGTTGCTATGAAAGCAATAGTCCCAGTACAGTAATCTGTCGGCAATGTAAACATTTCAAAGGAGCGGCTCGTAACTAATACTTAACTCTTTTGCAACATTTAAACCATCGGGTTGAAAATGTTATAAAACAATTGGTTCATACGTCAGCTGTGCGTTCATCGAGATATGAAGCACGCGGGAAGTTTGGAGAGCACTCATGAAGCTAGATTTGCTCTCGGCTACGCCTCTAGCAACTCTTTCATGCTCTCCAAACTTCCCGCGTCCTTCATATCCCGATGAACGTACGCTGACGTATGAATGTACGGTACAAGAGTACCCTCAACAATTTTTTGACTGCTGTGGGAAGAAGTGTTGAGGTAAATTCATAAAGGAAGTTTTGCTGAGGCATCAATTTACCGACCAGATCTTGTAGCGGAAAGTTTAGTTATACGATATTCCCTTAACCCTTCATATTCATTTTCCGTGAATTCACTTTCCGAGTCGCTTTCGTACTCATCAACCTGTGTTGGTTCAAGTGCAACGCTGATTTGGAATTGCGGTATACTTGTGTCACTAACAAAGGTTATAGTTGGAGAAAAAGCTCTCTTGTAGCCATAACATTAAGAGATTCGTCGTCTTCCTCACAGTCCTCATGCATAAGAATCTTTACACACATAGGTTTAAGCTGTGGGTAAACAGCTGGGGGGGATGCGTCTTCTTTGTCTTTTGTGCTCTCTACTCCGACAGTCCTCTGTCTCACTGGTCTGTGACTCTCTATCTATTCTTTGACAACTTCCCTTTTGTTCGAAATTGTCTCAGAGGGTAGAAGTTCCTAAAATAGACAGACTGGAAATGCACTGTAGACTGGGGCACTGAGTATTATGAGTCAGGCTGAGAACAGCACTTTGCCGCCCACTTTGTGATCCGCTTCAGAAAGTTCTTCAAGATGCTACCAAAGTCCATATTGCAGGATGCCCAAGGTTTTATGTTTAAAATGTGAAACGGCGTGGAGTTGTACTATTTTTTATAAGTCGGTAGAGCTTGAGCTCATATAAGCCGAACCCAAATTTGTTATACTAGTCATTGTTCAATAGGAAATCAATGATGTGATGCCGAAGATTTTCCATTCTTTTCCCCGGCTGGCAATCGTGAATCACTTGCAAGCTTTATCCTCTTCTTTAAAATAGAAGCCCACGACGGTTTTCAACACACTCCACGTATTGTAAATTTTTTTTGTCTCGGTTAAAGGGCGGGAATAACACTTATGGCGTGGCCATTGGCCAGAATCAGTAAGCTATCAAAGAAGTTAGCCTCTTTTTTAAATATTAACTTTTAAAATTAAATATCACAATGTTTTCAAACTTTAAGTTAAGGCGAAAATCAGTAAACATGACCATGAAGTGAGTTTATATGGAAACCTGGAGATTGGTTTACCAGTTTAAAAATACTTTAAGACTTTAAACTGTTCACGGTAAGCAGTGAAAATAGCGAGATCCTAAAAAATTTAAAAGCCTCTGATCGCTAATATTGAGCAGCTTTTTGACGGATGGCGGTAAAAATTTATCCTGTTGACGTCTGAAGGTTAAATTTCAGGACCTTTGACGGTTGACGGTTAAAAACTCTTTGAGACCCTCAGGAAAGGAAGAACGTTTCTTTTAGATGTTGTCAAACTTATTTTCAATTCTGAAAGGACGAGTACAACTATTTTGAACTCACCTAATTTGATAGCAGAGCCTTACCGTTGAGCATTTTGATAGCTATCTTGGTCGTCCTGGGTCTCCCTCGAAGTTTCTTAGCTGTTCCCTTTGCAACCTGGCCGAAAGCCCCCTTGCCAACGATTTTTTCTATTGTCACATGATCCCTTGACACTTCCCAGGACCGTGTTGATGGATGAAGTGGCGCGTAATCAGCAACTTGGTCAGAAATTTGTGTTTGAGAACCATCTGTGCTTGATTCTTTTAAATCCATGTACTCTGCCGGACGCTGAGTAAAGTCATTTGAATCAGGATCGCTTAATTCCAGGTCTTCGAACTCAATATCTTCCTGTAAAAAAATATAGGATATGTCGATTTGATATTTCACCGTTAGATAAAAGAAATATACTTTGGCCCCATTTATGAATTAATGGAGTTGTTTTACCAGGAACTAAAACACTCGTAGAATCAATGTGACCACTACATCTGCGAACCGATTGACGTCTTCTGCGTCTGTAACACTAGTAGAAATATTGAGCAAGGACGTTACAACTCCCGCCTTATTAAACTTTGCTGAATAAACTTGGTTTGTTTTCTGTTTGCAATAATAGGCCGCAAGATATGCTGTGGCAAGCGAAGAAGGTGTAAATGCATTTTCCGAACAACAGGAGAACAACAACGAGAACACCAATCAATCTCTATCATGTATATTTATTTTCCATATACCCGTATTTACTCGAATAAGCGCCGCGGCGCTTAATTAATTTTTCACGCCACAAGTGCGGCGCTTATTCGAGGGCGACGCTTATTTAAAAACTGTACCAGACAAATTTACTTTTTCTATATTTTTATTCAACGGTACACTTTCTATCTGTCAATTTTCTTATGGACTGATGCTAAACTGATAGTAAATGTATAATTACGAGAGAAATTCATGCGGTGAGAAAACCCCGAGCGTTTCATGATAACGAGAGCGAAAATATCCGCGGTGAGAGCGAACTCCTTTATCGTTGTGGAACAATGTACAACGTTCAGTCAATTTCGATTTCACTGTCTCCTTCCTTATCAAAATCTACTAGCTCCAGCGTGGGAGGGTAAGCCTCTTCGACATCTGAATCTGTGCACGCGAAAGGATTTGCATCTGGTTCCCTCAAGATATCCAATTGCATCTGCTGCATAGCTCTCTCCGTGCTGCATGGCTACCCTTCTTTGAAGCAATGGATGGTGTCGTCATTCGAGCCATCCACAGGGAGGTTCAAGGCACAGCTTGTGCACGAACGTTTGATAACTTCTGTTGGAAGCTCAGCCCAAGCGTCCAAAATCCATTGTAACATAGCTCGTCTTGGCGGGGCTCTCAGATTTCCAGCGGTAGTTCTTCATTAATTCCAACTGTTCCCGACCATTCATCGTACTTCTCTGCGCACGAGGACTTAAAGGGCTTATTCCAGCTGACGTCGGGTGCCTGAATGTATTTAGTACAACCTCCAGGCACAATTACACGATCAATTTTCTCAGATTTCAATGACTAAGTGATGCTATCTTCCATGTCACATTCGTAGGAATCCCAGGCTAACAGCCTGCGATTAAATGAAAATGATCCAAGAACAGAGTCAACCCAGATCTTGGTTAACTCAGTGTCCATCCATCCGTTTGCTGACGATGCAACAACTACTCAATGTTGGAATTTTTGTTTTAAAGCTGCAACTTCTCGCTTTGCTCCTTTAAATACCACCATAGGTTTTAGTTTAGTTCCATCGGCCTTCGCGGCGGGACAGACCGAAACCCTTGCTTTTTCGTAACCGGTCGATTTTAGAGTGATGGATTTCTTCCCAGTTGCGTCAACGGCTGTCTCTGATAACATATCGCACCAAACTGGGGTTTCATCCATTGCACCAATGTCAGAAGGCTTGTACTTGTGCTTTTCTTGTAATCGCCTAACCTGGATTACACAAGATACAAGTTTTGCAAGTATTCTGTCTGGATCTTGCTGGGGAACGGAGGTTTTTCTTCTCAATGACAGACCATTTCGCTTTATAAAGTTTTCCAGCCAACCTCTGGAAGCTTTAAAGTCGTCGTTGTCCACTAAGTTGTTTTCCGTCATATAAGTAACTTCTGCTTTCTTCATTATAAGCTTACACGAGACTCGTAATCCGCGAGCACGCCTGTTTTCAATCCATTCCAACAGGAGTTCCTCCACTTTCGCACTTAATGGTTTTCTACCACCTCCACTCAATCTGCTCCGTTGCTTTCCTTTGGTAGATCCAAGCAAATCTTCAATATTACTTTTCTTAGCTCGCCATTCTCGTACTCTCTTTTCATCAATTGAGAATCGCTTAGAGGCAGGTCGATTCCCCCTTGCTTCGGCATAAGCAATCACTTCTTTTTTTTAACGCTAGGCTGTTCTTTTGAATTTTCTTTCCCTTATGGGAAATCGCATCATTATCTGCGTCTGCTATTTCGTTAAGCACGATGAAGCAATGTTGCAAGTTTCCTTTTAATTTACGTAGCGTGTGAACGTTCACCCTGATTGGCTGAAACACATCAAATGGCGTCAACGGGATTCGCATTTGCGGAGGTGTGGTGTCTCTAGGTCTAGCGTGATATTTAGACCCGTACCGTTTTCAGAGAGCACTGTTTTATTTAAGCAAACAAAGGGAAAATGGTGAGAGCTTTGCCAATAGAGTTCAAAATGTATTTTAAATTACATTTTGAACAGTTATTACAGGACATAATATTTACAAGCATACCTGGACCCCCATTATCGATCAAGTTCTGCAGTGTGAAAAAGACAGTCGCGCAGAAGCCCAAGAACACGATTCTAATGCAGTCGGTGTGTACCTAGTAACGACGCAGTCGGACGCAAAGAAAACTCTTGCTGGTCATGTTCCGATAGAACTGTTACACTTGTTAAAGAACTTCCTCGAAGCAGAAGCAGGAAACAAGCTGTGTGCGCAAGTAACAGGAAAACGAAAGAGAGAAGTTGGGCTTGTTGTGCCGGCAAAGTTCACGGCCCTGAAATCAGAGCCTCGCATAGCAAAAATTCTGAAAAGAGAGCTTACGACCGAGCAGAGAAATACAGTCACTTTGAACTAAAGAACATCACATTTAAAGAATATAAATTGCCGATGCTGTGTTAAAATTGTTTTAGAGTGTTTTCCTGGTTATACGGAATTCCTCGAATAAGTGCCGCACGGGAGGTGTGGCGCTTAATCGAGGGCGGAGCTTATTAACTTTTTTTGTCCCAGATGCGGCGCTTGTTCGAGGGCGGCAATTAATCGAGGGCGGTGCTTGTTCGAGTAAATACGGTAATTAAAAAGGAACGTTACACAGTAGCTCAAAGATATGCATTTTATGTCCTCGTGGCACGAATAAAGTGTGAGATTTTACCGCTCAAACATAACTTAAATAGAGAGATTTACCACTGTGTTTACGTGGAACGGCAAACGTCAGCTTGTTCTTTCACGTTTCACGAAAAATTGCGTGAACCTTACTGCTTTAGCCTCGCGTGAGCTCACTTCATGTCGGATTTGAAGGCGCCCTTGTATGACTTGCAAGGAAAAGTTTTAGTGCCCCTTTCCGGTAATTAACTTGTATTCTGTGAGAGAAAATGTGAAAAAATCTTACGTGCACGGCAAACGCGAAATAGGTTTATTTTACGCGGAAACGGCAAAGCGCAACCGGTAAACGTGAAAAGATGGCGGGAAAAACAAGGTCACGTGGACACTGTTGGCGTTCACGTCTTATATATGTAAAGGCGGTGCTAAATCTCTCTAATATCTTTTCGCCACCGTGTAATATCCTCTATGTATTGAAGATGGTTGAGATAATTTTTTCCCATTTTTTGTTTATAGGATTTAGATACTTTTAGCGTTAGAAAACTTACCTCATAAGCGCTTTCATATCTGTTTATCCTTTAATGAAAAACAAAGGAAAGTGTCACGGGCATGGTTCAGGTTTAAATGGATTTTAATAATTTAGTTACTTTATCCCCATTTCTGAAAAATAGTTCATAGCCCACTCAGAAGATGATTATTTGAATGTTAACTGGACTAAGTGGAGTGCAATTTGGTCTGAAATCATACATTTGATTTCCAAATCTAACGAGTGCGCAACACGAGTTTTATTTGAAATCACAAGCACGATTTCAGATCAAAATTGCAAGACACGAAGTTCAATTACCATATTATTACATTCATGTGAAATCGCAAAATTCAATTTCTAAGAAACACGATTATTTGGATTCTGTACAAATGTTTCGTTGCTCCAGTTGCGAGCTAGTTTTGTTGAAAGTTGCTAAAATCGTTTTTCATTTTCCTGCCATTTGTTTGGTTTCTTTAAACAAACAATTAGTAGTTGTAATTTAGTAAAGCTTCCCCACTGGCTGGGAAAAGATGCGATTTGTATCTATGTAGCATGACCTGTAATGGTATTTGGCAATGATACCGCCAGACAAAATTGTCCAGAATACCACGAGCCAAGCGATGAGTGGTATTTTAGACAATTTTGAAATATGACGAGCCTGTATTATTGCAAAATACCACGTACCGGTCATGCTATTATTTGTTTGCGATAGAAGCCGAGAAATTCTCGGTATCGCACAAAAGACCTTTATCTCGTTACTGTTGAAAATACAAACAGGCGTCTGCATTCGAAACAGCTTTACGCCAATGAAAAAAAAATTATTGACAGTTTTTTGTGAAACCAGTACAAACCCTCGAAGGCAAAAAAAAATTAACTAGTTCCATGAAAGAATTTTTGCAGTCAATGCAGCGGTGAAGCGCAACCGCATATTAGATAAGGTACGGTGAAGCTTTTCCCAGTGTTTAACGTTTGCTTTATTGAAAAACAACAAACGCCAGCTTCGTAATTTTTGGTCACGTGACAGCCATGAAAGTGGTGGACCACTGTTTGGCAAGCTTAGTTTCGCATTTGACAATTTCATCGTTAAGACCCTTGCTTTCTCCCCACGAATTCCAAACATTTTTCCATGTCCTAATAGTTTTGACTGTATTTGTTTTGTTTTTTTTTTTTTACTGCTTTTTCGGCGAGCTTTTGTATTTCCTCAACGGAAACTTCTTGGAATCTTGCGCCATTTTTTTGAAAACAAAAGTAAAATCGTAATATTGTTCAGTGCTATCGTGCCGGTAACCTTGCTATACTATCCATCTTTGCTGTTGTACCATTATTACACTGAAATAGTAAAACTGTCAACCAGTCACATCTCCGAGATTTCTCGGCTTATATTATAAAGAGAAAAAATGGTGCGATTTGCGAATTAATCGCACCAATGAGAGCCATAAATCACCTTGCTCGAAAACCCAGACAAGAAATATCACATAATGTTTCCCCAAAAGTTCCCATCGGTATTAATAAGAGTTACGCTTCTTTGAATTAACCTCAAATGTAACATTCATAGGCCTTCTTGTTATCTATGACTGTTGCTGTTGTTATAGTTCGTTTAGTCTACGCCCATTCTGAATGCGGGAATAAACTAGAGAGTTCATACCTCTTTTTTCCACCACTGCCTAGAAAACAAAATAGGTTGGATGATTAATGATAAGGTATCGGATGGCGTTTTGAAAAGCAGACCCAAAATTTAAAACAAAAATGCAGAATAGTGAAATTTACCTTTCTTGAGTAACCAGACGATGCAAATGAATAACACAAGGACTACTGACGAAAGCAGTCCAATTATGGCTATAAAAATGACGTCATGACACTTTAAGTCCTCTCGAGCTAAGGAAAAATTAAAATTTTGTAAGCTCAATCGAGACGGAGATAACTCGCCATTAGCCAACCTATGGAAAACAGTTTGTCGGCATTTCGATGTAAAGGGCGAAAATAGGTATTGTGATACCAAAATTGTTCTCACAGTTTTATTTATTCCAGCGCTGGGAAAGAGAGACTCCGATAAAGTCTGAAAACACTAGCTGGAAATTAAATGCGCATTTAGCTACATTAATTTTTTTTTTTAATGATCATGAAGCTGCTCTATTTTGAGGAATAGATAGCGCGACACCCAAGTGAACGAGATAAAAATATGCAGTATGTAGCGACCAGAAAGTCACGCTTAAGAGTGTCTAAAGCCCAAATTTTCCCATCAGTAGCTTGTGATTGTTTACCTTGAGACTTTGTCTTCATAGTTATTACGACAGGATTTCCTTCAAACACAGCATTCCTTGCAAACACTTTCACCACGTAGTTTGTATCTCTCTCCAGACCCCCAAAAGTGTAGCTTGTTACACCAGGAACAGTAATATTAACACTGTTTATCTCAGTGTCACCTTCAAGTATGATGACTCGGTATCCTGTGATAGGACTCCCTCCATCATCAGCTGGTGCAGCACATCTTACTGTTAATGAACTGGTTTGAGTGCCTTTTTCTGATGAAATTGTGGATGGTGGACTCGGCTTCTCAACCGAGAGTAAATGAAAACGCGAGACTGTCGTATCATTTTGAAATTCTATTGAAAAATCATAAAATGATGAATAGATAACGTACAGTATCACTATGAACAATTTCTCAGACCTAGTGGGATTATATGGCCGAGCCTGAGAAGATATAGAAGGTTTTCCTGATATCAAGCTTTTGATTGCGGCCGGCTTTCGTTTTACTACACTCATTGGTTGTGTTCATCCCTATGATCCATTTTTTGTGACAAGTGACTTTTCTTTTAGATCTCATGAGTTACAATGTTACTTGATCAATCAACGAATTGCATTAATTTTGCTTTATTTCGCTCGGTGGGTAGTCCAGAAAACCCTACTTTCTTATAATAACTAACCAGATGGCTAAAACAAATCGCGCACCGGTATCGCAGAGGTCATGGGTCAAATCCCATTGGGGCCTGAATTTTTTCACGCCTTATTTTCACTACGACATAGGTAGGGTTTAGTACTGTGTGGATCGCTTTCATACATTTCATGAAATCACAGTACACATATATGATTTTTATATCTTCAAAAATTCTTTTTTGATATGTTGGCGAACCGACCTATGAGACGTCGGCGAACTGACCGAAGACGTCGGCGAAACGACCTAAGACGTTTGCGAACTAGTTGTGGCCGAAATGATTCATAGGCGAAATGACAGTTTACCAGTTTTATGCCTATGTAGGGTAAAGCATCACGTTTATCTCAATAGTAATGTTGGGAAGTGATGAAATTGTTCTGAAGTAATAGCCTAAAAGAAAGTTCTACCCTCAGTATTATCTTTTTGTTGGTTTGAAGTTTTAAAAATATTGGTGACAGTCGCAACATGGACATACCTCCAAGCACAAAAGATATATAAAAAAGAATCGATGTTCATTAATCAAGTTCTGTTCACAAACGAGTTTTTTGGTTACTATTTCATAAGGAAATGAAAAACTTGTTCTTCGTGCTCTGCTGAGTTACAGAAGCACTTGGTATCTTTTAAAAACGCTCGAAAAGTGCGGGAAGTATTCGCCTAGGGCTCGTGCTTCTCTAGCACTTCTCTCGTTTCCTAAAAAAGATCCTGTGTGTTTCTATAACTCAACAATGCACTCAGCGCCTTTTTCTTTTCTTATTTACTGATAAAAGGCGGCTTATACATCTATTACTCACGGTAAAGGACGAGTGTTGTTTGATTTGTTATGGAACCAGCTGTGTTGTTTGCTCTACATAAATACAATCCATCATCTGTTCTTCTTACACTGTTAAAGATCAGAAATGCCGCTCCCTTTCTTGAACTTATCACTGTTCCTTCTCTGGTCCATGTGACATCTGGCTCTGGAATCCCGGATGCTGTACAGCTGATATTAACAAAGGATCCCTCTCGGTAACCTCCTTGCACTGAAGACAGACTTATCTTTGGTGGTTCTACAAAAATGAACCAGTAAAGTGACCCACGGCGTCAGTCACATGTTTCATGACTCATTCAACAATTAGCGAGAAAAAAATCAGTGTAACTTGCTTACTTCATTTCATCATCAAAGTGAAAATAAAACATTGAATAATTTATGTTTCACTTCTGTAATGGGCCAACAACAAAGCGTTTCAGAGTCGAAAACAATTGGATTAAGATGAATAGACGTCACAAAAGAGAAGCCATACAAAAATAGAAACAAGGAGACCAAAGAAGCCTTGAATCGTAATTGATCCAGTATATAAGTTGTTTTTTCCCAAAATGGTATCTTGGTCTTCCACAACAGCTTCAAAAGTCACAATTGAAATAATAGCATAATAACTTAAACACGCAGTTACAGAAAGATAAGGTATTCTAATCGTATATTGCATCACTGAAACCACGCGTTAACTCGGTATTCCAAGACGTTTTACGATTTGTGTGGCTACTGCCTCCTATAGGAGGTGCAGCCACAGAAATCGTAGAAATGAGTGAGTTAGTGATGGTAACAACAGAATTCCGATCTTAGCCCAATTTTGACCCGATGTTTTACAATGCTGCTTAATGTTTGTTGCGGAGTACTACAGAAGATCAATAATATCTCATAATCATTTCAGGATGGAGCGTGAAAAAACAAAGCTTTTCCTTACAGAAATAACTTAAAAGGTGTGATCGGTGCGTCATGAAAACTTAACAACAACAACAACTACTCTTTATTTATTACAATTACAATTTTTACAATTTACAATTTATTTATTAAACTTAATAAGAAAATGACAATGCTTGGGCCCGCAAGTAGCTAGGGCTATTCGAAGCAGGCACAAGAGAGGAAAATAAAAAAAAAAAAAAGAATTCTATAGAAAATGAATATTTATATATACAATTATAATAAATAGACGAACAATCCTAAAAGAAATCTAGTTTGCCATGTGGTTTATAAACAGAATGAGACAGGAGGGCAGACTATAGCGTACACTGGAAGTACACAGTTAGAATTATGAGAATTGTACTCTAATATCAGCAATTCTTATATAATCATCATCTTTTTTCAGAATTTCAAAGAGTTTCTCCTTTATTACGCGTTTAAATTGATTTTTTGTAAAGTGTTTTGATAGGAAGTGTAATACTGTTCCAGCTTAAGGTGCCAGAAATGGAGAAGGCTCTCTTCATATTTTCAGTTCTAACTTGCTCAACATAACAATTTTCGAACAACAACAAACATATGAAACATATGAGTGAACTGCGGTTATGAGACGTATATAAGAACGATCCTTCGCAGTAAAGCACTATTTAAGCAATAGTGCGAAGGATCGTTCTTATATACGTCTCATAACCGCAGTTCACTCATATGTTTCATATGTTTGTTGTTGTTCGATTTATCATCTACGGGTTTATATCGAATTAATTTGATGGCCTGCTCCCAGTTGGCTTGTTAGCTCAATTGGTAGAGCGCTGCACTAGTATCGCAGAGGTCAGTGGTTCGAATCCCGTACAGGCCTGAAATTTTTTTCAGGTCTGATTTCCACTATTGCTTAAATAGTGCTTTACTGCGAAGGATCGTTCTTATATACATAACAATTTTCATTGACTCGGCGAACTACGCCCAGTTGATTCGAACGTAGAGTTTTTTCAGTTATTAGTTAGTTTGCTTATTTTAAAGTTGATGAACATCTCAAATTATTGAATTTCACCGTGGCATCTCCGGCACGTAATTGAATTAATAACACTTTTCTTTGCATAAATATCTAAACAGGTTTGATTAGCTCATCTTGGAAACTTTGAAGAAAAATTTTTAATCATTTGAAGAGAGAACATTTCACATTTTTAATAAGCGACTAATGCCCCGCCTAAAAGCCGCTATATTTGCGAAGGGAGTACGGTCCGAAGTTTACCAGCGTAACTCTATTCGACAAGGGATTCCACGTTGTAAAATAGTCCGCCATTCCGCCATTCCACCTTTCAAAGATTCAGTGTCAATTACTAACAGTATATATATATATACTGTATATACTCTTGGATCATCTTTCTCTTGTGGGACTTGTGGAATAGGGTACTCACAAATATGTGGGGTGCGGCAGATTTTCTGTTTTCCATGTGAGAAAAATCTTATGTAAAACCACTTTCTAGCATCATTAAACAACCTCTAAATGCAATAAAAATTGTACTATATCAGTAGCCACGTGCAGTCTTAAACTGCCTATTTTAAGTCGGACAACAATAGTAGTCAAGTAAATAGTGAATCTGAATTGTAATAATACAATAATTATAATAACCGAGAGTTTACTATAGGCAGCGACCACGTAACCAAAATAGAATAATATTTTTGATAAGAGAAGTCGAGACATTTAACATAACCCGATTGCCCTAATAACTACAATAACAACAATTCATACAATAGCGACCCTTTTCCGTATTTACATAGTCTCGTGGAAACACGAGGGTGGGTGTGTAGTTAGGAGAATTATACATACATACATACATAATTATATGGTAAACATACATTCATATATATATAGTCGTAAGTGGAACTCTCAGGCCAACAAAGGCGCACCGCGCCAGGAGGATCAATAAAGATTCGCGGTCCAAACCTCACAGCAAACACGAACATAGAAAGTTTAAAAATTGCGGGGATGGACAACTTCTGACGTCAAAAATATAAAAAATTTTAATAAAAAAACGTTTCGGTCAGAGACCTTCTTCAGTTATTTACAACTTTTGAAATAAAAAAAGAGCTTTAAATAGGATCGAAGTGTTAATGATTACGTAATTACAGATAACGACTAATGAACTGGTGCTAATAAAAAGATAACAAAAAACCTAATTACAAGGAAAGCAATGGACAAAATACAAGAAACAAACTATAAAAACTAAGAGATAAGAATACTAAATATGTTAAAATGAGTGGCGTAACCAATTGCAGAGAAGCAATGCGGCAAGCATTAAAAAAGGGGAGGCCCACTTTTAACTACAACTGTAAGCCGTAACAAAATCCCAAAACAAGGCCTTTGGAGCCCGAAAGGGCAAATTAGCAACAAAATCCCTGGAGGGGCCCTTAAATGATACTAATCATAATAAGATCCCTTGGCAGGGCCTCTGAGTCCAATCCACACCTAAAGGGCCGACAAAATCCGAGAAAAGGGCCTTTGAACGATCAATTAGTAGCACCTAATATCAGATGGAAAATTAATTATAGCAAATTCTATTTTTCAAATGAAATTCCTTTCTTTTATTCAAACGATGGGGTGCCAAAGAGAGCAACTGAGCGCTCCAATAAGCCTCTTTTGTGATTAAAAGCCTATCGATTTCTACAGAGCCAAATAAAATTCCAGTGCACCGCATCCTACACGGTTTTTTTCTGGTTTCTGCCTACCGTATGTGCAACACTGTAAGCGCAAATTCATCATGTCCACCCTGCTGGCTATTCATTGCCGAAGAATGACATTTTCAAATGAAACGCACATAGAACACATATTTTTACAGCTCAGGCACCACAAAGACGGACCTAAGACGCTATTTATTGTGATTTATTATATGGCTGTGTCTCACAAGGACTGGGAACTACCGAATTCACGAATTTGATTGGCTGAAATCAATATTGAAAGCGGTCTAGATTTTTCCATCTAGACCGGCATCTAGACCGGTTTAGAAAAAAAAGGTACAAAGAATATAAAAAATTGGCATATAAGACACAGCCATACAGCTGGTTCAGACCTCACTGCGATCGGTCTGTACTGGCGACCTTGGTCAAGATTCTCCCATACAGACCTCCCACTCGGTTATAAGAACTAAGTATCGACCGCCAAACTCCGCGGCTGACTTTTTCAATGATCTTAATATATCTTTCGAAGATGTTTATCCTCAGTATCATGAGATAATTGATGTTGGTGATTTTAATATAGACATGCTACATAATACGAGGAACAGACTCAAGAGGATCTTTAGTAATGCCGGTTTTACTCAGATCATTAATATCGCCACGCCACCAGAGTAACAAAGAACAGCGCAACGCTGATTGACCATGTTTACACAACACATCCCAATCGTATTGTGGAGATTATCGTTCCCACTCATGGCATGGGTGACCATTACCCAGTATGTTTTGTGCATAAGTATCGTGGCATTAATTCTGGAAAACTCTCGCATGATGAGATCTCGCACTGTAAATTTAAAAATCTGAATCACAATGAGTTTGTTGCTGACCTCGACAATGCTCCATGGTCTCTTCATAACTATAATCTGAGGTCTGTGGGTCTCGACTCTTGGCTGTTTCTGCCCCAAAATCAGGAACAGTTTTCCTGATAGCATTCGTTCATGTGACAGTTGAAATACTTTTAGATTTAAACTTGAGACCTAACTTTTCTTAAAAAAAAAAGCCATTTTTTTCTTCTTAGCGATTTTGATTTGGTATAAATATTGATTTAGTTCATTTTAATTTTATGACGCGCCTAGCGCAGGGTAGCTAGGAGCTATCATCATTATCATTTTTAGTATATTGGTATGAGTTGTAAACAAATATGATACATCAGTTTCGTTTCAAAGAGTAAGTACACTCCCTCAACAAAGTAGGATTTTTTCGCCATTTAATTTCGGATAGAGAAATTCGCATTGCGACAAAGTATAACTTTTAAGCCACATACTAACCTGCCACGATAAGCTGAATCGTGCTCCGCCATGGGCTGACCATATGACGAAGTACTTCACAACTAAATTCGGTGCTGTCTTTGGGAGTTATTTTTTGAATAACCAGGGTAGCTTTTCCTTCCATCCTAACCCTTTCCTTGTAAGCAGGTGGTATTTCTGTATGATAATAAACCACGCCATCCTGTTTGAAAAGCATTCTTTTGAAGACTTTCCCTTGGCTACCACCCACCAGAACACTTAAGACAATGGCTATCAGATCATTGTTTGGGTCACTGTAGTCCCACACCAGTTTGGCAGTAGTTCCATTCTTCACGTAGGTTGGATTAGAAGGCCTCCTTGTAAAATTGGCAATTACATCTAGTTAAAGAAACATTACAAACAAATTAAGATTATAGTTAATCTTCTGAGCCGGATCGGCTAAAATCACTTTTAAAATTCATCTCGACTATTTACCGTTTCAGTTGCTGAAATGGGTGTGGAGAATAATTCTCAACACCTAAAGGTTGGCGTCAAACAATTTTATTTGTTTGAAGTCAAACTTTGACTTTTTTCCACATTTTAAACGTTAACCCTTTGTAGTCTATTGCCTCCGTAATGGGGGGATTATACAAGGAGCGCTAAATGGCTACCTTGTCAGTTTGTCAGTGTCACTGAGAAAGTGGAAACTGGCTTTTTATCTCTATACGAGTATTAAAAACAATTTAAAGGGAATGGTTTCGATATCAAAACCGATATTTACACTGACTGAATTTGAAAGCACCTGAGCAATTATACTAAAACAATTCAGCGAGGGCGCCTCGAATATGAAATGAAAGATTATCAATGAGGCGCGCAGCGCCAAGTTGGTTATAAAATCTCATATTCGGCCTTAAATATCAAGATTTTTTGTGCTATTGTCTCGTTCTCGGACTTCATCGAGCCCAACAATTTTCCTAACTATTCTGCGTCTTTTGGAAAAATCACGCTCTTTCACGCTATCATCGAGAAACCCTCCTCTGTCTCCTCAGCGGCGTAATAGACTTTCAAAATCTCAAACTTTTGATCTCCAATCGCTGGACGCCCAATTTAACGTCTCTGTTCTATACTGAGTTCAACCGTGGAAGGTCTACTCAGCAATGATCATGCTAACATCAATCAGCGATTACAGAGACGCGTGTTGCAAGCAAAAGCATATATTTTGGTTTCACCTTAAGGACACCCAGTGCTTAGCCACCTGCTCAGGAGTTCGACGAAAATGTTTTGGAGGCTTGGGTACAAAAGTCATCACATGTCCCTAACAACAGCAGGCCAAGTCAACATTTTTCAAATCCATGTTGCGATCCAGTTATTTCTAAAACAATAGGTGTGATAACATCACACTTTCTTGTTGCGATCCCCGTTTTGTTTTCTCGTTAAGCCGTGTATTTCAGTGAAAGTATTTCGCGGACTTGAATTTTAAGAGTGAGTTTTCAGAGTCATTGAATTACTATATTTCAACGTGACCCGTAAATTAAGGGCGGAATTAGATGTGATTCGTAGCCCAATGGTACGTATTGTTCTCGAACGGTTGTGGTTAAGTTTTGACCAGGCTTCTGACCGGAGATGGACTACATATGGATTGATAAAGTCATAAAAAAAAAAAAACGGATAAAGGTTCGTGAAAAAATAAGATAAGACATTTTGTCGTCTATTATTTAACACAATATGAATTAATTTTTGACTACGAAAGTGCAGCGTTTACGGCGACTGAAATCCAAATTCTCAAGTTCAAGGTCGTATCGCTCCAAAACGCGGTTAACGAGGTGTTTGGGGACTATTTTACTGATCGAAATGACAACCCAAAGTTGACTGTTTGCACGAATCTTTATTCTTGAAAGGCAATCGACCACGAACCACAATCAATGACGAAAATAACGATTACTCTGACAGTCATTCAATCTATCGAACGATCGATCGTAAACTGAAATAACAATACAACGAAGTTCTACCAATCTAACGAAAAGCCGCGGAATACATGATCAAAGAATCGCATGTTAAATACTGGGCTCTAAAGTCTATAACGAGATTAACAATACGAGTGAAAAAGAACAAAAGTTTGGAAACAAATTTAAAGAGTTTTGATGACTGATAAACAGCCCATTGTTCTATCTAAATGATGGGTGTTCACTGACTCGCAAATTGGCCCGAATTTGGCCTTTAAATCTTAAATCTATACAGATCATTGCAATATTTGTTTGTATATTGTCGCCCAACACTGAAAAGACTGGAAAGGAAAAAACAAAGTTACAAAGGTACTCACATATCGGTCCCGCTTGTGCCAGAGGTTGAGAAAACGAAAGGGCGAAAGTTTACCAAGGCTATTCAAAACTTACGAAGAACTGATTAAAGGGACGCTAAA